GCTGGTTCAACCAGACCGGCTTCTCCGTCCCTTCTCTTACTTTCCTACATTTTAGTTATCTTGGGAAGAGGAGTCACAAAGGACATTGCATGTGCTTGATCGGCTCAGTATTTAGATAGATCAATGTTGAAGGTAGTAAGGAATGAAAAGCGAATCAAGTGAATTATACATCTGCTCATGTGGTAGTCTCAACAGCCTGCAGTGACTTAATAAAGGATGCAAGACATTTAATGCAGTAAAATACAGGATTGGCTGATATATACGGACTGATCTATCAAATTGGACAATATTAAGGCCATATAGATGATTGGAATTGGCAGAAAACGCTGCGGGTAAAATGCTTTTTTTGTGTAGTAATGAACAGGCAGCTGTATTTTGAGGAGAATGACCCATTGTTTGACTAAAACCATTAGAGTCTTTAAAGGGAAATTAAGCTGATTTTCCAAAATTTCTGCGTAATTTAATCTAATGTAAACATGTCTTACATCTTCTATTTAAAGTCACTGCCAGCTGCTGAGGCTACCAAAACTCTCATGAGAATTCATTTGTTTCATAATTTGCTTCTTACCACCTTAAAGTTTGAGCTAAATACTAATTTTAAGCCAGTCAAGGCCTTTCTGACTCCTCCTTTTCATTCATAGCAAGGAATTTCATTGATAGGAAAAGATTAATTGTAGAGGAATTTGCCGACTCAGATGGCTTTACAGTGGTGCTGATGGGAACCAGGGTTCACAGTGTCTGCATTGTAATTATAACTTTTTTTATTTGCCATGCAAAACCACCAGTGAAATTACACATATCTTGAATTTTTATATATAACGTTGATAGTATAAATATTATGCCACTAATACCACCACATTATGAAATATGGTATGCTATGGACTATTTTGCCATACAATTCTAGGCATGGAATGTTCAACCATGAATGTATTTTTTAAAAAAATGTAGTCCAAAGTGTTATCCCAAAACTAAACTACAACAATTTCAATGTCTTTGCATCTTAACCATTTTGTTAGGCAGAACCTTGGAAAAATTCACCTTTAAAATTTGACCAAGTGTAATTATATCCATTACATTATTTTGGTTATTGAAATGTTTTGCTTCTTTAGCTCAGTATTGGCATTTTAATATCGGTTGGGCCCTACTTAAATATATGTTTTATAAATAAACTAATTTAGGTTATTTCCACCCCTATTCTGACTCAATTTAATTAGTGTAGTCAATACATTACTCTTGTTTTACTTATTTCCCATGTTACACAATAACAGTAAATTAGGATGGTGAAGGCTGGCTTCCTCTGATGCATGTAAAACATACTTTTTTGTGTATTTTTGAACTGCTGGCCTCATTAGAAAGTGGCTCACCATGCTCAGAAGAGAATACTCTGCAGAATCTAACTGGCTAATACATCATGTAAAAGCGCAAAGGAGGAATAGATCACTAATGTCTTTCTTGCCCGTTCTGAGATGTCCTCTGCCATGGACCACAGGTGGTGCAGCTGAATCTAAAACCCAGTTGTTGGCTGCTCTTCCACACTACCTGATAGTCTTGCCCTCTTAGATAGGAAAAGCGTTTTATAATGAATTAAAATTTGTTTGCTAATTTGACTGTTCTTTCCACTGGCCTGTATTGTGCGTAGCAGTAAGTGTTTTTAAATTACGTCTGCTGAAGACAAGGGCGTGAGAGTTAGCCGTTACTCTTACAGCTCATTGTTTTTAGTTCATAATCACGAATGAGGTCTCACTGTTATAATTGGGAGCAGGCTGTGAAAATGGGACATTACTTAACAAATAAAAGCCACTGTAGGCAATTACCGCAAAGCACACCTCAGCCCGCCATCACCAAACAGATTAATCAAACATATCCTCACATCTCTGAGCCTGCTCATTTCTCTGCTCTGTTTGAATGCAAATAAAGCACCGGCTGTGGAGCTTTCAGGAGAGACTCTGTCCAAGGTAGTTACAGAAATCCAGTGATGAGCCAAGCATAATACACGCACACACAATCACTCACTCTAACTCTCACTCCCTCTCTCATATCATATCATCATGGAGAGTTATCTGGACCGTTAATCTCCAGCATAAATAATGGAGCCTGATGAATAATTTAAAACAAATCATCTATTTCTGTTGCTTCCAGAAGATGTGTGTGTTTAAGGTTATTTTAATTTGAACTCCAGATTTTTCAAATACAAATGACTCATTGCACATTTGGTATTTATCTCATCTTCTGACTCTGATCTCCTTGGAGATACAGAGGCCTGAGGAATCTGGCGGTCTGGCACAAAATAAAAGAAAACAGTTTAAACCAACAGCAGTTAGCCTGCTGAGTTGTCTTATCAAAACAATTAATTAAAACACATTTCAAGTAACTGGGTGGAGGGGCGGGGGTAACCGAAGTCAGAAATAAGTGGCAATGTATGTTTGTGTTTTTATGTAATTGTGGCTTGAGTTGGATTCTGTCTGTGCGATATAGAGGGGAAATGAGAGACATAGGGCTTTAATAAAGTCTGTTTCTGTGCTGTGCTCGGGGACACTGAGGGAAGCTGTAGGCTTATCTCTGAATGAAACCAATCTGTTGAGACTGCTCCTCATTTACACCATGATTTGTTTTCTGTCTATAACAGCCAGTGACATTTTATTTCCGGCACCTTGTGTGGGTGTGTGAGAGGCCTGTCTGAGATGGTACAGTTTGGATGTATGTGTGAAGGTAGGAGGTCGTGGCCAGGTGCTGATGGGAGCTCTGAGGGCTGGACTTTGTTAAGCCGACACAGATGAACCTGCTGCCTGAGTGACTGGGAGGAGACAACTTCACTTAATGTCTTCTGTACCAAGAGATTTGAATTCTCACTTGATATTTAATCCTTTTCTGTTGGGACTGGTAATTCTCTCATAGATGGTATTTGGATATATGTCTAAAAATAAATTCCAGCAATATAAAGGTTTAATTTTAGATACTTGGCTAAATGTTCAGTCTACAAAATACACTTAACGCGGTCAGTTTTAAACAACGTACATGTCTGTTAAAGTATCTGAAGTTGTAGTTCTTTTATACGGTTTGCTTACACACGATAAGGTGACTATTACTAACAATATGCTTAATGAATTTATGCAATAATACAATACTGTGCATGAGTCAGAGACCATCCATGGTTTCTTTATTTCCAGTTGTTGATGTATTTATTTAGCATCAGAAAAAAAGCCAAAAGCATATTTAACAGAAAATGACACTGAACCCTTAACAAATAAATTTAATTTCAGGTTTACAGCATTTACTGTCCACTCTTTGACTTCAAAAGAGCTTCCATTCCTTTTAATAGACTAGCTTTCAGTTTATTAAAGAAATCTACTAGGCTGTTTTCCACATACTTTTAGAAATATTTCCAAAGTTCTGTCTCAGTTGGTTGTAATTCCTGCTTTTTACAATCCAAGTAATCCCAAACACATTCAGTGATGTTGAGGTTTGGGCTCTGGAGTGGCCAGTCCATTGTTCTGAGAACACGAGCAGCTGCTTTACAAATGTTTGTCCTTTCAGACCCCTAGTGCTGAGTTGTTCTCTCACAGTAGAAGGATGGACGGAAGCAACTGTTTTTTCAGATCAGAAGCAAGGGAGAAGCTTCATTTTTATTTCAAGATGAAAGACCAGTGCCTAAAGCTTTCATCTTTAGGCACTGGTCTACCAGGTCTTGCACAATTGTTAGGAGATGCAATCTCTTTTTAATAAGTTTTTAAGCTCCAGTTTTGGACACTTTTTTTTGTTTTTTTCCACCATTTTTTTTTTTTTACTTTGACTTTCCCCTTCCTAATGCAAGTGGATTATTTAATATCTGATCTCCTAAAAATTATCTCCTGACAAATCTAACTTGTAGTTCCATTTTGACTTGGAAATTTAATAAATGAAGTGTGTTCTTGGACTTTTGCAAAGCGCTATATATATTGATATATCTGGTGTTCATTCTCCATATTTTCATTTTAAATATTTAGTTCTGTTTTACAAATAACTCTTCTACATTTTATCAATACAATTTCTAAACATGCAAATTCTGTGACTGATTGACAAGTAAGCCTATTTAAGTCCCTCTTCACATGAATTTTTTCCCTTTGGCCAGCATACAAAAACCCTCCACCCTCACTTGAACACACATTTCAGATTCTCTTTGGCCTGGCTGTCTTTTCTCAGCCTCTACATCATCACATATGCATTTGCTCTTCTGACTGCGCCAATTTCCAATTTTCCCCACTAGCTACAACAAACATTACATTTACATATTGATTCCGCAGTTTTAGTCAATGTAAATATGCTGTCATTACAGTAAATGTGGGCTTCTGTTAACATAAGCTTGTCCAAAGCTCCTCAGATTAAGGCAGCGGTTGCATAATTAATGTGTGTACTGCGCATTAATTCCCGACTCTCCTTTTCCTAGCCGCTTTCGTTTGAACCATGATTAGCCAGCAGTCTCGTCTCTAAGCTGTTGATTCATATTCATGCGCACAGGCAGCGCTTTTGTTCAAAACGCTACTTAACCTCTGCCGATTCTTATTAGCCAAGCGCTACATTCTCCTTCAGCCTCTACTGGAGCCCACTTTCTGTCCCTTGTGAAATCTATGGCCTGGCTCTTGGTCAGTTTGCAAGGGATGTGCTGGAGAGCCATGGGCCCTCTGACACTTTTGAGAGGCTTTTGGGCCTCTTGGCGCAGACCGATAAGATAGTGTAGATCTCCAGATGGCCCTGGGGTTGAGGTGTGTTGGGGGCATGTCACGGCTCCTGTCCCCCACCCCCTGCTGGTCTGGGACCGACAGGCAGCAAGCATCTGTGGTTGTGGTGGTGAGGTTGAGGGAGACCATGGGGTGGCTGGGGCTTGTCTGAGCCTACAAGCTCTGGGGAGATGGAATGAAGCTCTCTTCACGGCAGGGAGAGGAGTGTATGCGAGCCCTGACTCGTCCCCAGCTTGACTCTAACCCACTCTCATTTTTCCTCTCATTGTTTTCTCTGTTTATCAGCGTCCAGCAGGAGTCGTTAAATCAGAACTACCTGCTGATCATCAGCCACCGGGAAGCGCAGAGAGAGTACAGCCTCAACTTTCCTGCCACTAGAACCATCCAGGAGGTGAGACACACACACACACACACATCTGTCTGTTGTACATATGTCAACAACGTACGTGTGACTATTTTTTGGTGTCTCTTTTAGGGCCAGACCAATATATCAGTTGGCTGATAATATCAGATGATATTAAAGTACTGCAGAGTTATTGGTATCAGCGAAAATCCTGCTGATAACACTGATATTTTGAGGTTTGTTTAATTTTGTAATCAACAGACACTTCAGATGTGAGGGTGAAAAATGAATTCTCTTTTGAGGGCCTGCTAAGTTGACAAAACAACTAATTTCTGTTTTGAACACAAAACCAGCCATCATAAGAAGAAAGAAAAATGACAAACGCATTGTACCTAATACAGAGAACTTGGAAATATAAGAGCTAATTAACAGAAACCAACTAAACTGCTAAGAATTCTGGGACACTCTTGCTACTGTGCTACTGCTTGCTATATACTGTGTATATTTTACTATATTTTTGTTATATTGTTCGACTGCTGTTTGGAATTAAATGGTGACAGTTAAGATTTAATTTAAAATCTCAACTTTACTATTATAGAGAATACACAATCGGAATACAGAAATTCAGTATCTGTAGTCAGTCCAAGTTACATTTTGATAAGTCATTTTGATAAGTTCAAAATACAGGTAATTTTTGCTTTTTTAGAAGAATACTTTTAGGATACTTACCTAGTAATTAAAAAAAATACAATATTCAAAAGAAACACCATCAATGCATGTTCAGCTACTAACTATGACGTATCAAACATGCTCATTAGACAAATTCTAAAGAGAACCTCAATTAACGACTTTTTTTACAAACACTGAAGTTCCTACTAAAGCCTGAGTAGACTGATAAATCTGGTGATGAGCAAGTAATTAATCCCAGTATTACTGAGCTTTTTTGAGAAATTTCCGTCTATTTAGTCTGTAATTTTTGTGCATGAGAAGAAGAAAATTACACTGTATGTTGGATTTGAGTGGTCTAAATTAATTTTTCAGTAAACTTTAAATGTGTAGTACTGTGCAAAATCAGACAACCCTACATTTATTAAATGTGCAGTCAAAACAGCCGTTAAGTTAAAGTTATTCTTTTTTTCCCCAGGAGATATTTCTGAGAATGTTTCACTTATAATCCACTTGCATAAAAGTCAAACGAAAAATGCACACAAAAAAAAAACTTCCCAAAAGTGGAGTTAAAAAAATTATTGAAATATCTAAAGAAAATGAGACTCATAACAACTGGGCAAGACCACCAATTCAGAAAGCGTTATGTGCGAAGTACAAAAAGTCACTTGGCTTGTGGAGCAGTTGGGAGCAGTATGTCCGCCTACCATGTGGTCATGACCGAGCAAATTCATTTCCTGTTCAGCCTCTTTCTCCAGTCTGGTTTTAGCTGTCCACACAGCCACGGTCTGCCTAAACGGTCCAAAGCTGTTTGATCACAGGGCAAATTGGCATGTGCAAGGGACATTTGGGGGAATGTGTTTGTGGAGAGGGCCTGTGAGGGAGATGCTTAATTTCTTGGTGCAAAATTAAACAGTGGATTTGGGAGCAGATGAAATATTCATCAATACGTTGGAGGACTCAACTTCTGTGTTTGCCTTTCACTCATCACTGTGGCTGCTATTGCCAGACCTGCTACTTTAGAGGAGGAGGTTTAGCACCAACCCCCCCAATAGCTAATCAACTCCCTTCCCTCTCACACTGGAGCTACACGGACACCATCTTTTCATAGCTCTTCATTTAACAGACTGCAGTGCAGTATTTAAAGTTGGTGTGTGAGGAGCACAAAACCCAAGTGCCTCTGTTCCAAATACACAGCCCCACCCTCGGCTTCCTTGCATTCTCCCTGGCCTGCCCCAGTAACCTGCACGCAGTGTTCAGCCAGTGCCTCCATTAATTATTCACAGCAGGTAGCACGCTCCACGTCAAGTGTAACAAGCTCCCTACAGATTGACGGGCCTGCTTTCGCCCCCTCCTGTGCAGGGGGAGTCACGTTGGGCCTACACAGTCCTGTTGCAAAGAAACACACATCTGTGATGTTCATTTGATTTCTTAAACATTGTTTGAGATGAATTTGGGCTTATTTGCATGTTGAAATGTCAAAGGAAAGTTGATAAAAAAAGGAACATTTGTTTGTAAAGAAATAGTCAGATGATGTTGCTGTTATGCCAGATTTGATTAATTTTGTAATGGATTTGTGAATTGATGTATAGAGTTGATGATTGAAGTATAAAGTTGGGCTCCTAATCAGTGTTAATACATCTTTGAGTGTTATTTAATGTTAGACTAATGTAGAAGTGGGTTGGATTTACTAGAAGTAGGCTGGATTAATTCAAAACTATTCCAAAAACTAAATGTTACTATTTCAGCAGACTTCCATTTTACATTAAGCATGTTTTTTCCTTCTCAGTTAAACTCGCCATTTTGATATGCGTGCTTTCTGACAGTTACGACATGGAGAACGGCAGATATTTCATTTGTAGGCTCATTTATATGTATAATTTTTGTAGAAGTACTATTCAAATTTGACCCGTATTTTTGTAGTGTATGAATTCTATGAATCTGTGCAAAAACAGAATAGGAACTGTGCACACAAAAATGCCATATTTATGTTTGTTCCCTGTGAAGAATGTGTTTCCAACAAAACATCGTTTGAATGGGGGTGTTCAAACTTTGGGCTGTATGAGATACAGTCCAAAGCTTCATGTAGATAACTACATGAAGGCTCAAATATTATAATAGGGCAAAACTCCACAGGTGACAATATATCAGCCTTCCATGTGGTGAAGACGGAGCAACCTTCATTGCCATTATTTGCTGTGTTGGTAAATTCTTTTTATAAGCCGGATCTGTGCCAGCGTCTGCTTTGGTAGCTGTAAAGCCGCTCCAGCAACCAGCCTTGCTCTTGCTGCTCCCAGCATCTCTTGCTTGGAGCGACGCCGCCTCGATGGCGCTGGTCACCATTACAGTAATCAGACTACTTGACAGGTTTGTAATGGTGCTAATTGAAGAGATTAAAGCGCGAGCGACGAGCGCTCCCCTTCCCCCAGCAGATGGTTTTGATGAGCACCCACTGTGAACCTTAAGTGTTTCTGCCGGGATTACAACAACTGGGGAGGGCGGCCTGCCGGGAGGAGCGGGGGAGAGGGGAAAAGGAGAGGAGGACCAGGCCCCGCTGGCTTGGTAGGGGAGCCAGTGTGTGGACAAAGCCGAATCAAACAGGCCGCTGCCGCCTCACGCTCGCTGGTCCTCAGGCATTCCAGGTTTTTTGCCCAAAAAGAGGGAAAGGTATTGAGAGAGGGAGAGAGAAAATATGTGCACAGTTTATTTGTGCCAGAGCTATACTTGCAATACAGTTAGAAGTTATACCACCATCATACCACTTGTGCTTATTTGCAAGTTGCACATTTCTTTGTAATGCTAATGGATGGTTAGTTAGTTATTAGGTAGTTAATTTGATGGTAAGTGGTGGTGTTCTAAAGAGGTTAGAGACTTCAGGGAAAGTATGCTGTCTCTTCAAGCTTTTGCTGTTCTGTAGCCTGAAGTAGAACAAAATAAATGAAAGACTGGGAGTGAAAAGCTCAGCAGGGAGCTCAATGTTCCTCTCAAACATTTCGTAGATGTTAAAAAGTTACTAACGAGAGGGGGGATGTGGTGTTTGTGTGCATTTTTTTTCTTTTTTCTTTCTTACAGTCATTGCCTAAAAAGTGCCTAAAAAGGCCTGTGTGAAAAAGCAACAAAACAGCAACACGAAGCTCTTCCAATCCCGGCTATGCCCTCTTGCCTATTCACCACCACACAGCCACATATGGAGGCTACTGCAAGCCATCTTTTTTCTTTCTGCTGTCTTTTGTCTTTGCTGAAGACCAGCCGATGCTTTTCTGCTTGTGCATATCAATAGAGAGAGAGAGTCTCAGAGTGTCCTGTTGTTTGTCTTTGCCAAAGGCTCTTGCTTTGCCTTGTGGCTCCCAGGGAACGCACCCTTTCCCTGCCTCTATTGGGCCCCGGGCCCCGCTCTCTCTCTCTGATTGGCATTCCCAAACCCTAAGTGCCGGCCCGAGCTAAGCCTCAGAGCAAATGTTTGCCAGGAAAGTGGTGGCTAGAATAGGGCCGGCCGATAGGGCTCCGCCGTCCGTGACCAGACGAGCTATCCCAGGGATTTCTTCGCCACTGCTGTTTTTCTCTCCGCAGCTGGAGAGACGAGCGGAGAGGAAGAAAAGAAAGATGGAGAGTAAAAGAGTGTGAATGAAAGGCATCTGGTGCTGAAGAGCTTGTGACTGTTTAACGGCAACCTTTTCTTCTCTTTGATTCCTCTCCAGCCAGGGATTACCAGTACTTGGCATTTAGAGAGATTGGATCATTAGTGTGTGTGCGTCTGTGTGTGTGCGTCTGTGTGAGAGTTATTTTTGTGTTAATTGCCTGTGTCAGTGTAATGTACACTAGCTTGCAAAATTCACTTCTATTAAATGTCCAGTCGTGATGTATTGCTATTAGAAACATTACTTGGATTGTAGATTTCTTGTTTGTAATTTTAATGCTTATTCATTTAACTTGTTTACATAACATTTACATTTCACATTTTATATTTGCTTTCTCTGAAGGTTTTAAGGCTTTATATTTCTCTTATAATCTGTGGATGTATGCAGAAAGGTTCTGTAAGTATGTTTTTATTTCAGGTAACGAAAGCAAATAAACTATGGTTTGCCTATATGAGGTCTATTAAACAGTGCAGTTTTTGTTCAGTCAGTAAGGGGGCAGCAAAAGACAGGAAGCTTTGGCAATTGAGTGAAATGTGTTTGTGTGTCTTTCCTGTTATATCTGTCCTTTATCATTTCAGTGAAAAGGCAGTCTGAAAATTTCTCTACAGGATATATTGTATGTAACCTTTATGTTCACAAATCATTTGCAGAAATATTTTCTTGATTTCTCTTTTTTTTTTCATAAAACAGTGGTGAATAAACATGAACGTGAAAATGTAGAACACAAATTCCCTGGTGTTACATGTGATGTGAAGAGGGAATTTTTTGATGGCAGCTAAAATGTCTTTATCCAGGAGATCACACAGTATAGCATAAGATAATGTCAACTTTTACCCACTCTCTCAGCACAAGGCAGTTTTTCCTCCTTTGCTGAAGAGTCTATTGTGACATTTAAAATGAAATGTCATCGGAAGTAGAATTTAATAGGGCCGAGTCTTTTCTGTTCTGGTTTAATCAGAGCTCATTGTGCCCTCAAAAAAAAAAAAAACAAGCTTTATGACACGATACAAATGTCAGCTGCTCAAAATATCTCGTAACTTTCTTTTTACTTCTAGAATCAGTGATAAATAAATAGTCATCCGGTGGATTTGATTATCTTTCTTGATTATATATAATGTAGATTTTCTCAGTTTGTTGGTATTGTGTGTTTTAATTTGAAGGCTCCCATCGGCGTTCTTGGCTCATGAGTAGCTAATGATGACACTATTTGTGATTTATATCAGCAGCAGTGGATGAATGGAGCTTTTTTGCCCTTTTTTTTGGCCTTTCTATGTGATATTCTGTAAAATTTGTCTGTTTCTAATTCATTTTTTACAACCTTTACTTTTTGTTTAATTTTTACTCTCAGGAACTTGATAGACCTGCGTCCATGTTGAAACCCCTTGTCAAAATCAGACACTAATAAAGAGCTTCACTTTGGATCTTTATCGTGATAGGAAGCCCTCAGCTAGATGTTGGGAGAGTTTGGCAATATTGACAGTGGGCTAGTTCTCATAACAAGAGGCCTAGGGAAGTGAGCAGCAGTGAAATGCCAGAGTCCCACAGAGGACCCGTGTGCTTGGGCGGATGAACGCCGCTGCCAGGACCTTCGCGTTGGCATTAGTTTCTTCTTTCTCCTGGGCTGTGGTGCCCCCTGACCCTGAACGCTTCATTACAGCTGAGCGTGGGTGTTTACGGCTGCCTGCTGGTCAGGCCTGGGCAGCCAAATCCCTGTAGCCCTCTGGTCAAACACAGATATTACACTCTGTAATAACACTGGCCAACCCGGCTGACCTCTGCTCACTTCATAAAGCATAGCGCACAGCCAAGTGTGTGGGCTGGTAGATGTTTGAGTGTGTGCAGTGGGGCAGTCTTTGACTTGAGATGCTGCACTGAATATTAGAGTTCCCACTACCCCCAACCGGTGTGTATACCTGACCAAATCACGAGGGACAGTGGCTTTGGGCATACGTGCTTTACATTATGCAGAATAAAGGGCCATTACCTTTCTATTTTCACATGGTCTAGTGGAGCCTATGCCTTCATCCCCATTGACTGGGCTATTGACAGCTTTTTCCTACATTACAGTGTTATGCTGCTAAAAACATATTTTTGGGTTAATCTCGGGTATGTAAATGTTTATAGAGGGATCTGCTGTTTTCCTCTCGGCATCAGCACCTCAGCTTCTGGTTCATATCCTTTGTTTTTCTAGCCTTCATGTGGCCATAGTTTCTGCCTCCATGGGCACAAGTCCTTGGTCTGGCTGAGGGTCCGTGTCCACTCGGTGTGCCTGCTGTGGGATTTGGCTGTGTGCGGGTAGGGCTTTCCAGCACAATGGCCAGTTTGCTCTGCTTCTGTATCTAGCGCCGCAGGGTAGCACATTCTGCGGGGGTAATGTGCTAGAATCTACACCCGTTCAGTTTAGAGCGACACCCACTTTGATCACTGTCGCCCTCCGCTCATCAGCCTGGCATTGGGTTTTAAACCAACAGTGGTGTTGGGGCGAGAGCCGCCGCGAACTGTTTAAAAGCACGCAACGTTATCAAGTGCAGATACACAGCAGCTGAAAGGCTGAAGAGAAATACTGTCCATTGGGCTGTTGATGTTATGCATTAAGCAAGGTATCCACGGAATGTCTCCCTCTCCCAGTCCTCTTCCCTCCCTGCCTTCTCAAGCCATCCCTCTCTCTGTGATGCAAAGAGATTGTTGTGCATGTAGTACCTTGCTTAGGGAATTGAAGAGTCCTGTTAAAAGAACTTGACTTAACTGAAATAGTTAAGAAATTAAGTTTCAGATCTGGAGTTAAAGAATATGGAGGCATCCACAGAAACAATTAAATTTCATTGTTCTCTCTCTCTCTGTTTTTTCAGGTGAAGAGGAACATTTCAGACTTGACAAACATCCCAGTACGGCATCAACAGTGGGATGGCTGGCCTGCCTCAGCCTCAGATGACTCAGTAAGTAATTTTCTTTCTCGCCATATGATTAAGGAGTTTTGTGAAAAATAGCTTTGTAAAAATGTCTACTTGGTTTATTTGTATATGTATGAAAGGAACAATTTCTTGAAAGAAATGCAAAAAATGTATTTACTTTGGTATTTTTAGCTATTTGTTGGATTTCGGGATTCTCCCCATTGGAGATGTTGAGACTAATTAAGATGTCACAGATCTGCTCCCCTCTGTTGTCCTCTAGCTGTGGACATTTAAGCTCATGTAGTGATGTGTCACTGACCTTTCCCACCCCAGGCACTGCTCCTTACCTTTCACTTCTATGCAGTCACACTGATCAGAAGAGACCCTAACCCTGAACTCTGAGGCACCCCTAAACCTACGCTGCCCTTCTATGACAATCAGCCAAATAATACCATGGGAACCCTTTTCCACAATAATTGTGTAAATGTATTACCCATTAGCCCAGTTAAGCTCAGAGAATATACTTACTTTGAAATAACAGAAGGAAAACTAGTTGTTTTGGACCACGTGCAGAAAGATATTTCACAAGACTCTTTTTGTGCTTAGCTGCCCACAAACATTTAGTTTTTAAGCAATCATCCTCCACATAATTTACAAACTTTTTTACTGGATAGTTTGTATCAGATGTCATTTGAATATTGAGCTCTCTGTTAAAGCCCCCAAATTCAACATCTAGATGTTTGCCTTGTATGAAGTCAGAGAAATGGTGTGTAGTAACAACTGCAATTATTTTGTTAAGTGAGGCTGTGGAGACGTTTTTAAATGTGTCCAAAAACATTTCAAGATTATGTTCCAGTTTAAAGAACTGTGACAGAATGTACCAGTTTCAATAAATGCCTTGATGGCTTTGTTTTGTGTGTATTTACGGCTAGTGACCACCTTGACAATGAATGCTTTGTTTATATCCATTTGTAGTATGTGTTACCTGTTTCGGTTAACATTTGTATTGTCGAAGGCTGAGTGGTGAGGTCGTCTCTTAGCAAAAAGCACAACAGGAACAAGGTCATTTCAGTCTACACCCTCTTACCACAGACGCTGCCCACTTCAGCCTGGCCACTTGAGTGGCTGAAGTGTGCTCACTGACGACCTGAAGCCACAAGCTTGGTTTGAGTAAAGAGGACTGCCACTCATGAATACTCTTTAGGCCACGCTAAACCATTAATGCCTGCTCTTCTTTGGAGAGTGGCTATGTGTGACTGGCTCGTGCTTGGCCACATAGCTGGCTCACCTTGCCCAAGCTCTGTAAGAAGAGATATTAAAAACATTGGCCTCTAATAATGGCCCAGGCACTTATTGAAATAGCTGGCCATGCATTGGAGTGAAAAGCCCCTGTATGACAGACAGGCTGTTTCTATGCATATCTCATTAACCCCGTCTCATCTCCCAGGATTTGTACCAATACACAGGACAGACAGGGCTTAGAAATACAATTACTAGGAGTCTGAATCAATGGCTGCTGGGCCTTGCCTTCATTACCCCTTATTCTTACTCATGCGGTCTCTCTACTTTTTATTCCCTCTCATATGGCAGATAAATGGAAAAACTTATCAGTAGTCAGTTTACTTTTCAGTGGCTGAGTTTGCTTTTGGTTATGACAACTAGTGTTGGGGGACATTCTTATATATTCATTCATTCATTCATTTATTCCATTCTGATAAAGTCTGAGATGAGAAGCTGAGATGTAGAGCATTCATAAACATATTCATAAAGCTTGCCTTACCCTTTTGAAATATTTTCTAATATAATGGCAGATCCTTAGTTTCAGATGTGTGACGCTGGAATGACTATACAGTCTTGCATGTTTTGGGAGTGCCCTGTCATCATTAGCCTCTGGTCAAATGTTGCAACTGTGATGGCTGGTACTGGATGCTCATGTCCAGTCTTCTCCAGTTTCATCCTGTAGAGTGATGACTTATCACTGTAGCTTTCTCATGCAGCTGATTTTTAAACTCCTAATATTACCATTATTTAACACACAGACTGACAATCTATTGGTTATTGCTGTTCTGTCCTCTGCAGAAAGCTTACTGTTTTATAGACCATAATATCTAATGCAGTCTTTGCATTTTTCATAACGTATTCATAAAACCTTTGCAGATCTCCCCCTACATTGAACATTTTTAGGACTTGATCAGTGGCACAGAAATGTGACCTACTTGTTGTAAATCAGATTTTGCTCTGTGTTTAGTTGAATGTGTATTTGAAGGTTGATGTATGGGCAGACCGGAGGACACCTTACATTATAGACATGCTGTGCCTCTTAAGTTTGTTCGCTTGCACACTCTTAACTAAGTGCATTTGCTCTATCATTTTAGCATATAGAGCAGGGTCCTCAATATATAATTAATAAAATAAAACAATAAAATAAATGTTTGTCAAATAAATTTATTGACTAAAACAATTAATTTAATGCTAATACAATAGCTTTGACATTCCAGCTGAATGTAGATGAATGTTTGTTTGAGTGAAGTGAGGAGTTGGCTAGTAGAGCAGCTATTTCTGTGTTCTCAGTGAATTTGTAAGATAACTTTTATTTCTTTATTCTGACATGGTATTTCTACCATTATATCATGATTGAATCCACAAAGGCAGATATAAGTAACTATCAGTCTAAATTAGAATATTATCTAGGTAGTTATAGTTAAAGGACAACCTTGGCCCTTCAGTATTCCCTGTTCATGCTACTTTAGGTTTTCGTTTGAATTGTTTTTCTTGTATGCAGCACTATTTCTACCTTTGCACATTCCTTTTGAAATATGTCTTTTGGTAGTGAACATTCTTAATGCTGCACATTGATTTTCAGACTTTGGGACACATTTAATTCAAAACAGTGGAATCTAATGTGATGTGACGATGAAGGACTGAGATGCAGTCTCACTTTAAGCTTCACTTTAAAAATATTTTTTAAAACATCATTGGAAAACAAATTACAAAAAAAAAATTTAAGTATTATTTTAAGTAAGTTAAAATGTAGGGGTTGGAGTTGGGGTTGGAGACAGCCACCTCCTCCCAGCAGAAAGTGCCCTATAAATGAGGATGTTGTATAAATTTTGCCTATTACTATCTCTGTTAATGTCTTGGCTTTAACCTCTTATTCTCCAGGGTATATTTTGGGTTGTCCATCTGAATTTACATGACAAAATCGTAAGGCAAATTATTCCGTAACTGCATGAAATAAATGTACATTTTTATTATATTTATTTTTTTTTGGTAAAAGCTCCCCTCAAATTAACAGAACATATGTTTTATGGTCATACACATATTGCTATATGCTTACAATTTACTGCTGAAAGACAAAAATCTTTGTATTATTTTATAAAAATGATTTTTGACAGAGCAGATCACTGAAGAGACACCATCTGTTTATAGTTTATAGCCCAGATTTGTGGAAAAATGGGTCAATTTTCAGCAGACAAAAAAACTGTTCAGCTTCTTCTATTATAAGTGTTTAAAATTAGATTACTCATCTATTTGACTGGAAAGAAGACAGTTACAGCTCTCATATGACACCCACCTTTTGAATGTAGCTTATGAAGTATGAAAGTTATGAAGAATATGACGAAGTGCGTTTTGGAACCACCGGTGGTCTCAAGGAGTTGAAGAGGTTAAGTAGATCATAACATAATCCTTGTAAATATTTAAGGTCTGAATATTGAACACACAATTTTGTTTTTGTTTTTACTGTGGGACTGCAGTTTGAACTATTTTTGTAGAATGATACATAAAGCTAATGCTAGGAAACTGGCCATAGAGTATGGTGGGTAAAGCAAATCTACCTGTCAAATGTAAATATTTAGTTCTATGGAAAAAATTGTGTGTGGGCCAGATTTAAGGATAGCTTGTTAATTTGTGACATTTACAAAGGTTTGAGACCCATGATATACCGTAGGAACATTGAAAAAAGCACAAACACATGACAAATCATTTAGAGCACTAGTTGGAAGTGTGTGGGCCGATCACATTAAAAGTTTTAAAAGCATTTTTAACTGTAAAGTTATAAAAATGTGATCCAGGACCTCCCTCTCCTCTTGCACTCTCTCTCTCACTCTCACTCTGACGCATGCGCACACCCCCAGCTCGTCCCTGTCCTTGCTGCTGATCACTTCTGACCGACAGCCTTATGAAACACCTGTGGGAATGATTGACAGCCTCTGAAACGTCCTTATTAGAGTCCTTTCCCCCATAATTGCTGACATTTATCCAGTGTTTCATGATGTTTGCTAATGTATTACTGCGGCTGCTCTCTGAGGGGCTGCGTGCCCCACGCCTCTTATGGGCTCTTCACCTCGTGGACTCGAAGAGGAGGCTTATTGGGCCTGTTGGTTGCCGTAGCGACAGGGCTCAGCACTAAGCTGCCAGAGCCCTTGGTGAGATTGCTGTCTGCGGGGAGATACACACACCTCCTCACACTACCAAACCACCGACCTGCTGCTTCTGGTTCTCGCCCCTGCAGCCTGACTTTAAGCATGCTTTACATGTCCTGACCAATGTGTTGATGCTTCAGGGCAGGCTTCAAGCTGGAGTTTACAGGGCTGCTGCAGCTGCTTTTCTTTTCAGCCGTTATTAGCTCAAGAGTTCTAGCAATTTGCCAGATTTGTATTGATTACCAGTTTCAGAGGTAGATAACTTGCCTATTTGGCATTTGTGCTTGAATGGAGAGCTCAGAGTTGAAATTGTATACTGTGTCTGGGTGAAACGTCATTCATGAAGTAATGTGAACTATAAGAATTAACTTGCAATCATGCCAATTTGGAGAAAAAAGTCCCCATTCATGACTTAGTGTGAGTTGACTACCCTCCAGCTAAATCAAAGACTGACACTCCAGCAACCTGCAACCTGAAAGGCTCCAACAGGTGTTTAGGGTGGGGCTTTGTCCGTTCTTTCTTTTCTTTCATTTCTCTGTCTGTCTTTTTTTTTTGTTTTGTTTTGAAAGAGCACAGACATGAGGTGTTGGTAGAGCTCAGGAACAGACACTGCAGCTGTCTGCAGCAATTATCTCACCCTCACTGGCAAAGAGAAGAATGGAAAAGTAAAAAAAAAAAAAAGTTAAAGAATTAGGTAGTGTGCAAGGTTTGTTTGGAGAGAGAGAGAAAGAGAGAAAGAAATCTTCTTCTGTATGTCTCCCCCATGCAAGGGCCTTTGATGCAAGTGGTAATTAAGAGAATCCAAAAGGAGGAGAGTTGGTTCATTGTGTGCTGCTGGAGTGGGGGTGTTGGGGTGTTGACCTCTCCCCTGTAGCCTGCGGCTCTTAAGCACACAACTAGCCAGCATTGCTTGTCTCACAGCATCGCGAGAGGAAGAAAGGGGCAATAAGTGTGGAACAGGGCTCTACTTCATATGTTCAGTCTCCACTATCCTCAGCTTCTTCTGCCCCTTCTCCAAATCCCTATTGTATGGTGAAGTGATGAAACTTGATTTAAACTCTTATGAGGGCACGAGGGAAATCCTGCTATTGAGAAGGCTGAGCCAGTATGCTCGTGTTTGATTACTCAGAGAAGAGAGGGATGGTCGAGCCAGGCTTCCTTTTGCAGCTTTGCAGTGCTCTCACTTAAAGGAATGGATCACACAAATTCACACAATTTTCCTCTTACCTCAGGTGTAGCTGTCCAAATGTTGCGTCTTAGGTTTGCATTGGAGGCTAATTTTGCTAACGCTGGAAGTCAATAGACACCCGAATAGTTTCCATAAATATTTATCCAGAACTGTGTTCACAGTGCTCAAACTGCAGCTGTTTATTAAGGTTGCGCAGACTTGTCGGTATTGTTAAAGACACAGGATGACGTATATGGACTTTAAAAATGAACAGAACCTCACTGTGTAGCTAAACGCAGCAGTCAGCCTTTTTAGACAAGTCAAATACTATAGATAAAAGGATGTCATACAGCATCAGAAACCACATAAACAGCTTAACAGCTTGGCATTGTTTGAGGCAAGTGCCATGATTTATGTATGCAGTTTGTAAAATGCTAACCTAGTGGCTATAAGCTTCTGTTGCTCCAGCTCCAGCGCAAAACTCAAGAAGCAAATGTCAGACACCATACATATCTTGAATTGGCTACATTTGGGGTATGTGGAAAATTGCACAGTTGATTTATTTTTTAAACAGAGCCATGTTTTAATGGCCATAGTCTGTTTTCAGATACCTATCAGTATCCAGTCTCGCATTGTCTCCCACATAGCAGCTGGGTGAACGTTGTACATGAACATACTGTGTAATGCAAAGTTGGCTTGAGCTTTGCACAAATTTTACAAACTTTGCCTTACTGAAAGTGTACAGAGGCCTGAAGTTATTCAGTGATGCACTGGGCTGCCCTCTCAGTGACACCCATGAAGAAAAGATCTCAGGTGTTTGGACAATAAGGCAATCCACCTAAGTGTTTTCTCCCCAGGTGTTCCAGCGCACTTTAACCACTCAGACCATTGCACGTTCCAGGACCTCTCAGTAAAGTAAACTTGTTTTAGTTGGTCCTGAAAGACAAGAAACACTATCTGTCATCTCTGTCTGTGCGGGCTGGGAGACATACTGTAAGGCCTATTCAGGTCTCTGTGATGTTGCTTTTCTTTTAGCGCTTTTGCTGTGCTGTCTTCAGTGCATCATTGCTTATGGGGCTTTCTTCAATTCTGCATTATTTATGGCAATAATTGTCTTGTGTTAATTTCAAGTCTCTGGGTCATTTTGGATTATTTTGTTCAAATATTGTCTACGTTAGACTCATTTAGCTTTCTCTTGATTAAATGTGTCCTTCCTGATCGTGGTGTTTTGCTCATTTTGAAAGCGGTTTTAACAGTGTGCCATCTATGTATAAATTGGTTATACTTTTTGCTTAGTACATATGCAGGTAAATAAATTAAATTATTCAGATCCAGCAGTCTCTCAATCTGTAAAACTCATTTGCTTTTGCTGTAATTACCTCCTGATTCAGCAGTACCCAGCTGGTTGAAGCACCTGACAATAGCACAGATTATGACCCCATGCTGTGTGTTGTCCGGCTTTTTCATTCTCATTTACACCAACAGATCTGATCTTGCCCTATGGCAATCAGTCAGCCTGCAAACCAGCTTTTATGTAGTCAAACCTCTGAACACTAATCAGAGAACAGTTTTACCTTTTTAGATATGCGGATGGTGTAGGTTTCCATTTTGAGCAAGTAATTGAATGATAACCTAATGGCAGAGTGAGCTACATCCTAACGACTCCAGGTGTAGAGCTGAGGTTAGCATCAGCGTAATTAAGCCTGCTCTGGAGTTACGAAACACATTCAGATAAGTGTTGAGAAAGCTGATGCGAGGCCAGAAAGCAGGCAGACGAAGGTCGATGGCAGGTGAGTGTTGGGTAAAGCCGATAAATGGCAGGTAAGTGTTGATAAAGCTGATGTGAGCAGAAAGAATGGAGTGTTCTGTTCCATGGCATTGTGGAGGTGTGAGGGGAAGGCAGGGCTTAATGAGTCCCTGTAGTGCGCAGGCCTGCTGACATTTCCACTGCAGATGGGGAGTTAATGAGACATCTAGGCCTGCACCCCACCCTACCATCTTCCAGCCTTGCAGTGCTGCAGGCACACTAGCTGATAGAGATTATGCTCTTTAGCTCTTTAAGTCAGCAGAGATATCATTCCAGTTCAGCTCCATCATAGGGGAGACTGATTATCGAAATGTTTCTAATTGATATGAGGGTTTTGTGTACAAAACGAATCTCAAAATTAAGGATGTCAGCAGCTTCTCTTGTTTATTAACTATGGATGCATCGATATAGCAACTTTGGGCTTATGCCAGTATTCAGTATTTTTCACGTAGATGTCTGCCCATGCTGATGCATACACTTGTTACATACACTAAAATGTGTTATCTGGATGTAGATTAACCTGGATTAGCATTACAGAACAAATATAGTATTTATCTGTATATGATTGCAATGCAGGAAAATGGATAATGTACAGACATTTTAGCACAGTAGCTTAGCATTGACTAAGCTTTCTGCTCTTTTAGACTAAATATCGGTTTGAAATATCAGCCAAATCCAAGCATCTGTCTGGTGCTGAGATTTTTTTTTTTTTTAAGCAAATATTTACCAATAGTTATATAATTTCGATATTATCGTACATACCTATTATAACTCTTGTAGAAACTTCAACTAATATCACTGGCAATCAACTATAGGAGATCTTTTAGGAAAAATGTCAGTCATATGTCAGTTAACTGTTTAAAAAAAAAAAAAACTGGTGTGAGGTTGGGGAATGTACTTGCTGAGCTATGAATAAATGTATAGTCGTGTGGATTTATTGAATTGTATACGTTGCATGTATTGAAGAGTGTGTATATTTGTCTTTGTAGTAGTAGCAGCACCGCCTGTGTCCAAACAAATTTCCTTTTCAGTCCCTAACGTTAATCTATTCTAAGGGCTCGTTTGCAGGTCCAGATTTACAGGCCACACTCTTGAAATGACATAACTAGCATATTATTTCCATAGTAGTTGCCAAATAATTAATGGTCGTTACAATGCAATAAGTCTAAGATGAATAACTGAATAACATGCTTACAATTGAAGAGATTCGGATACTGTTGTAGTGTTTGGTTGGATGACCTAGGCTGCCAGTTGATAAGCTTCCTATCATCCAGCATATTGATTACTTAGCCCAGTCTGATCAGCCTCTAAGGGTTTGGATAGGTTTGCACATGTGATTGGTTATGATTGTGTCTTGGTGTTGCTGTGTAGCTAATAATTGTGATGTGTTTGTGTGTAGATGACGCTGGCCTCCTCTGGGATTAGCTTCCCATGCCATCATCTGAGCGTATGCAGGAGATCTTCCCCAGCCACTGCTCTGGAGCCGACCGAAGAGGTACAGTGCAGTAACGTTCAGCAACATGTGTTATGCTCATTCATGTACTCATTTTAAGCAACTGTTCTGTGGGCTTTTGGTTTATTTTACAGGGGGAACCCCAGGCCTGTTTACATGACTTTTTAATTGTTTGTTTCACAAAATCTGGTTTATTTAAATATTGAGTATTACATCTAAAGTACGTTTTGATGTCTCGTTTGTAATATTTAAATTCATTGTGCAAGTTATTATTATATAAAAAAAAACAATGTTAATATGCCTAGTGATTCTGAATATTTGGATAGATGGATAGATAGAGAAAATGTGAGGTAAATACAGAGGTGCAGGATATCACTTATTTAATAATTTCACTATTTAATTTTTTTTAAATGGTGGCTATAACAAATACTTTTTGGTTCTAGTTTGTAGTAATTAAATTCCACATTGCCTAAGTTATTATTGTGTATAAAATAACAAATTGTTAATATACCAGTTTATTCCAAACGTTTGAATGGCAGTATAGATAGATGAATTGATACAGATAGATAAATAGATGACTAAAACTAATGTAAATAAATAATAACTATGTATTTTTTAATTTTATTATTTTTCACAGTTAAAATTTCTTTTTTAAAATAGTGATTCTGACATAGAGAATACTTTTTGATGTCTAGTTTGTAGTATTTAAATCCATGTTACATACATTATTTGTACTATTGTATATAAAATTAACATTGTTAATATACCAATTTATTCCAGACTGATAGATGGAAGGAGTACAACCAGTTCATTAACTGTTTTCATTTTAAACAGGTGCAGGAAAATTCCGCCTCTGTTTATGTATAGTAACACAGAAATAATTATTAATTAATAATTATATAATTATTGTACTTACTCAATTATTATCTGATTGTAAAATACATTGTTCAGTAGGTAGAACATATGTACTAAAGCTGGCTTTGTTCAGTACTCTGTCTGCATTTTTGTAGTAAATGATGATGTCCTACCTTATAAACCTGAAGAAACTTATCCAATACGATTGTGATATGCTGCTGTTTCGCTGGGAAACATGAAAGACATGGATGGCGAATTAACTATGCACTAACTATGACGGGAAGAGCACAGCAGAAAATCATTTCATTTTTCAATGAAAATCTTTAATCTTCCCATTAATTTCAGCAAGGCTTAGTTTACAGCAGTGATTTGCAATAATGTGAATGAATGTGACGAAAATATATTTTAATTTATCGTTATCTGCTGCGAGTTGTATTAAAGAGTTCTGACATTGTTATTGGATAAGAAATAAGACATTTCAAGTGTGAAATTGATGACATGTTCAGCAAGCACTGCCAGCAGATCCTGTTCACTAAAATTACTGCCTTTTGTAATATTCCAAACATTTGCTGTTGTCTTCCCAGCATCTTTTTGGGATTAATCTGTCAGCCAGAAAAGTCAGCCAGAAAAAAAAGTTTGATGTGTCGCCCAAACCAGCTGTGCTCTTCTGGCACGTTCAGGGGTTTTTGTGTTCATTACCAGATGTGCACTCTAGCAAAAAATGATTATTAGATATCCTAAATTTATCAGTGACAAGGGGCCTCCCACAGTCTTTCGGGCCTGTGCACTTGTCTATTTTTAGTACAGGATGGACGTCACAGTCCAGAGTTGGAACATGAGTGTGTTTACTGCATGTATGGGCAATGTAACACACCGTGTCGTCACAGTTAAGTTGTTCTGTGTTCGCACTATGAATCCCATGAGGTTCTGCCACATGTGGGTATTTTTTCCCTTCTGCAAGATTCTGATGCAGGGTGGGCAATGGACTAAAGTAATGACTTATTTTTTAAGATATGCTGTACTGTGCGGTAGTCTTTGGCATGTGATAAAATTATAATTCTTATTTAATTGGCTATTATGTGTTTATTTGCTCAGTAAAATACTGATTTCAGAATAAATTTTAATAATATTAAAACAGCAATTTTTGTCACTGGGTTCCCTTGACCATTTCCAAACCGTTCTTTGTTGCTGCCCAGTATTAACTGTAGTTATCATCCAATACATATTTTACCTGATCAGTGCTTTATTAAATTAAGGCAGGTGGGCTGGTGTTGGATTTGAATAAATCTTGAGTGATGACTGGAGACATCACAGAGAAATCCAGAACCAAACTTTCCTTATTCCAGCCAGCTCATAACAACTGCTTTTCTGAAAACAAGAAATTCATGTTATTTTTGCTCTTTGTTTTTTATGTTTAATATAAAGTAGTATATAGTGTTTTACAGATAAAAAATACACTGCTGAGAAATTGTTTTAAACAATTTACTTAAGTACCTAAGCCTTTGCACAACACATTAACCGTCACTATATTAACTCTTCACTTTTATTCCGATGGTCAAGTTGTTTAGCAAGTAGACGCGAGCAGTTATTTAAAAACTCCTAGAAATACATCTGGGGGTTACAAATAAAACCAAGTTGTCAATAAAAAATAAATTGTGTTTGTGGCAGTGCACAGATGTCCACATGGTCAGCGACAGTGAAGGTGATGACTTTGAGGATGCATCTGAATTTGGAGTTGACGAGTCTGAAATCTTTGGCATGGGAAGCTCGAGTTGTCGAAAATCACCAATGAGTAAGATAAGATTAAGTTTTTTCTTATTAATTAACCGTTATATTGTGTGATCTAGGGTAAGAGAATTTGCTGTTGTCTGTTTTTCTCTTCATCAGTGCCAGAGAACAGTGAAAATGAGGGTGATGCCTTACTGCACTTTACTGCCGAGTTCTCATCAAGGTGAGTCTTCAGGAGAACTCAACATTGTTTTACTGATAGTTGTTTGGTGTGGTTTGGGTACAGAATACATGCTTTCATTTCAAAGTTGTTCCACTGTAAAATGTGGAAAGTGCAGTTAAATCAATTAAATGCAACTGAACATTTAAATATTAAAAAAAAAAAAGATTAACTTTGCAAATATGTGACCATCTAAAATGTATTCTTTGCAGCCACTTTAATCCATAATTTTCTGTTTTGTGCATCTAGTTTATATTGTTTTTATGAAAGCACACTGTTAATTCTGACGCTTCTTTGGCTATGATTACATTTTTTTTCTAAAATGGGCTTGAAAGTTTAGTGATTACTGATTAACACTTGACTAGTACTCTATGAATGGCAGGGCATTTCAGTTCATACTAATTAAAAAAAATGTTTTAATAGTTTAACAGCAGAATTCTCTAAAGGTAATAATCTGGTCATCTGATCCGAGTTAACTGAATGCTGTTGCTTCTGATATCACTTCAGGTACAGTACTGTGCAAAAGTACAAGTAATTTATTTTTCAGTGCCTCTGATATTGAAAAGACAGATATGTATATATTTAACATAAAATTACACAGAGGCTAACAATCATCTACGAGTGTTTAATTTGTCTACTCTTTACTCTTCCATCCTTCCAGTCTTAAACTCAAACAGCTACAGCTGTCCTCCCAATAGAAGGTGTTCAGTGAGACACTAACATACATGCAAGCAGCTATGCAGATTATTTTTTTTAGTAAATTTTATTTACTAAAGAACCCTTGAAGAACAATCATTTTTAAATTTGTAGAGTTCAAAAAATTATTAGAAGATATAGAGAAAATGAGACTCCTAAGAACTTACTTACTGCAAGAACTGTCACCATCAGATAAACAGTACTTAAAGCTTTAATCTTTGAGAGAGGTGAGAATCAAGTTCCGTACTTGTTTCAAATGTGAAAAAATACATAGGTGTTTCTCTCTATCCTTCCGTTGTGAGAAGACAGCTCAATGCTATGGGTCTGAAAGGATGTGTAGCTGTCAAGAAGCATTAACTGAAAAAAGGAAGCAGTCAAAGAGAAGAATTTGCACTAGAACACTTGAATGGGTGAGATGAGGTATGGACGAAGGTTTTATGGACTGTGAATCTAAAATTGTAAGTGTGAGGGGCAGAAAATATCTCTGCAGATTTCTTTGAAAAGCTAAAATGAAGGCAAAGTATAGTTAAAAAGCTGAAATAAGGCAAAGTAAATGGTGAAAAAAAATTGTTGAGGCTTCTGTGTTTTTTTTTATATATCTGTTATGTTTTTTTTGCTTTACCTCTGACATTAAGAAATGAATCTGTATTATTTTTGGGTACTTTTAACAGACATGTTTGACTTCTGCACAATACTGTGTATTTTTTTTTCTTTTCTGTTATAGTCTAGCTTTTCCCATGCTCTCAGTGCAAGAATTCATTGTGAGTGTTAGGCAGTTGCCCCTGAGTGACCATTCTCAGTGTCTTTTACAAAAGTTGCTAGCAGTTTGATTTAAACCGATTTAGGCAATGCAGAGTGGAGCCGGCATAAAGCCAAACTCTAAAGCACATTGCCACAGCACTCCAACTTTTTCTTTATATTTTATTTAAATTCATATTTGTCTGTAATTGGGTGCCTTTTGTCATAAAATATTGTCTAATCACGTGTTTGACTAGTGTTATATTCCGTGAGCACTTACTTTGTGTGTGTTTGTCAGATATGGAGATTGCCATCCAGTCTTCTTTATCGGTTCCTTGGAGGCAGCATCTCAAGAGGCCTTTTATGGCAAAGCCAGAGACGTGAGTACATTTGTCATTACTTAAACATGCAGTCAGGTGATCCAGGAAAAATAAACTTTCAGTCTGTGTTGAAACTAGCAAAATTATTGAACATCTAATTTTAGCAATGAACTGGTTGGGAAGTGTTTTACCTGACCACACCAGCTATTTTAATTCAAAATGAGTCACTGGTGACGAGTTGGTTGTGATCTTGTACTTAAGATGAAAAATTGTCACTCACTGATGGCGTAGAAGCTACTGATTCTGCAGCAGTGCTGCTAGTTTTTCATCTCTCTCTCTCTGCGCTAGTGTTGGAGCTAGTATTGTGGCATGAAGAATACCTGTCAAGTGATGATAATGATTTGTAAGGTTTGTCAAAAAGAGACAGACTCAAGTTCTGTGTTCCACAAACTTTGGTAAAAAATCAAAAGCGAGCTGTGCATAAACTTGTAGTCTTTTTAAATCCTCATGCTTCACTTTAACCTTCCAAGGTATATAAACATCTCTGACATTATGATTGACAGTGACTCCCTCTCGTCGGTATAATTCCCCATTAAAACTTGCCTGTTTCCCTTTTGAACAGCTGAAGCTTTATTTATAGCGGCTCAGCGCTGCTTCTCCTGCCGCGGCCTCTGAAGGAGGCTTGTATCAACTGACAGCTTGTGTGGATTACAGTTTTATTAGACAGGGAGGAAGCAGCAAGATGTTAGGGGGGTTTCGGAGCACGAGGGGGAGGCTTGACTGGCGCTTCGCCCGTTACCAGCTGATCTCCTCTCTTCGTTCGAGAACGCTCAATATGGCCGCTGCTCTCTGTGAAGAAACTGTACACAGTGTCACTGAAAATAAACCCAGCAGGAAAAAATGGTGCACTGACCCCTCCATGTCTCTCCGTCTTCTGTTCTCTCTTCTCACTTTATGCTTCTCACTTTTTACCTTAAGTGAGCTGCATAAAATCACTGCAAGACTGCAAGATAATTTTTAGTTGAAAGTGAACATAATATGTAGGACAGTACATAGGACATGAAAAAATGATTTTAGCGATGGCATCAGTGCCTGACCTCCTGTCAGTTATTTTATAAGACCCTTCCCAGTGCCACTTTATTTCGCCCCCATCTCTGTCTGGCGGAAATCCACCTGTGCCACCAGGTCCTCGTACTGTAGGCAGGATAAAACGTCCCATTCCTAAACGAGAATCAGCATTGGAAATCTTCTCCAAGATGAAGGCAATTATTACATGCAGCATGGACTCAGAATTAGCTGTGTTCCTATTGGATGTGTAAATGTGAGATGTATTAGGCGTTAAACATTTTGTATGACTGACTTACAAACTGAATTACAGTAAAGTATTTGGAGAGTACTTATAGCATGATTAGACAAAAAGTCTCTGAAAAAGTGGAATGTAAAGTTATCAATACTTTGGTTGGGGGAGAGCAGTGTTGTAGCCCCCTCTCTTGAAGCTTCTATCTTTTAGCTAGGTTCTCGAAAGCAAGCACAACTATCCTAAGATAAACTAGCTGATTGCCGTGGTATTAATTGTTGTTATCAACTTGAAAAATGGTTGTTTCAGCTAAGAAAAAGGACCACATTCTGTGTGCCCTATTGAGATGTAGTCCATATTAAGCCTCTAAATAATGAAGTCTTAATAAACACCCCCTCAATGCTAGGAAAGGAAGTCATGAAATACTGAAAGCAGTGGTAATGCTAGCAAACTGTAATTAAACTTGGGCACTGTTAATTCTAGGGATGTGTTCAGTGTTGATGGACAGGACTGGAGGGCAGATCTAAAGAGTTAAAATAATAATAATAATAATTTGTGTTGTTACTAGAGGTTGAATAGCTTAAATCTTGACTAATGCATCTTTAAGTTTCATCACTTCAGGTTTTAACAGCTGCGAGGAACATGATGCTTTGAAACATTTACATGTGGCCCTTAGAACTAAGATATTTAATGCAATTAACACCCCTTTGTGTAAGAAAATTCATGCCTTAGGTATTCATCTTAAGATATATTTTGGTTCACATAAAATATTTATGTGAGCCAAGTGGCCCCAGGTCTGTTATTTAGATATAAACGAGAGGTTTTGTCTTGTTTAGCTTCTCCACCAACGGTCACTCTTTCATTCCTAAATTTTTCTTCTCTCTCATTCTTTTCTCATCTCTCCCTTTCTCCCAACAAGTAATATCTTTCACCCCAGCCTCCCCACTCCAACCAGGACTGTTCAAAGTCTTGGTTCATGTTGTCTCCTCCGATTGCTCATTAAACGGATATTATGTGAGTGTGTGTGTCCTTGCTCTGCTCTCAAAGGCCTGTGAGGCTAATCACTAAGTAAAACACTACATTTGATGAAGTGTTTCTGGAGAGGCAGAGATGCTCCCAATCCGCCCTTAATGAAAACGCTGAGGACCCTTGAGCTCAGCCGCGGGGATCAGTGGTAAGACTCTGCTGTCAGGCCACCCATCAGCAACCAGGCCTCTGCCCAAATCCCCTTAACGTCCAGCTAATCACAGTAACCCCACTCTCGCTCGCACACAGACACGCATCAAAATTCATTGCTCCTCCAGCACATCCGTTGTGCATGAGATGGTTCCGCCGTAGCGGAGCGATATTGACACATGAAGAAAAAGAGAGATTCCTCCATAAGGGTTTTTTCGCTCTTTCCTGCTTAATATGTGACAGTGAGTGGCATGAATGATCACGGAGCTCACTGTTTTTTGCCACTTTAATTTGCTTGGAATTAGTTAAAAGCCTAAATTATTTGTCATCTTTATTGATATCAGAATCTTTGCCAATTTTCACTGTTTTGAACCCTTTGTATTTCTGCAAAGTTGCTGTGCCTTCATACTGCTCTATCACCTATTTGAATTTGGTTAAAAAGACATTAGCTGATTAGGCCTGTTTTTGTCCAGCAGCGCCTTGTGCCATCTGTTAAAGCAATTGATCAGAACGCGTGTACTCCCAGGCCGGGGGTCATGAGAGAGCAGTAATATGAACTCTTCATTTCCCACTGTTTGCTTTTCTACAGGCTGCAGAGGCCGATCACTTTCGCTTGCTCTCTCTCTCTGTCTTTCTGCTCCATGTTGACTGTAATTAAAAACGTCCTACAGTTCAAACATCTATTCAGTGTGCTATGCAGAGACAGATGCCTGTCAAAGGTAACATATGGATTTCTCTCTGTGTATGTATGAGAAAACAAGTCCTACTTTTATTGGTTATTTGGCATTTGTCTTCATTGTATTATTCCTCATCATGTGATATGTGAGGTTATGTTTAGAGTCTGGCTCACGCTAAACTCTCATACTAGTGTTGATAAAACAAACACAAGCATCATCCCCTCATGCTATTTAGTGTAAATTCACTGATTTCTTTGTAATTTTCCAGTTGTATGTTTGGATGTTCAGTACTGTGCAAAAGTCAGAGACCACCACCACACCTTCATAGTTACTTGCATTTTCTGTTTTTCACAATCCAAATAATCCCAAACACATTCAGTGACGTTGAGGACTGGACTCTGAGGTGAGCAGTCCATTGTTCTAAAAACACCGGCCGCTTCTTTGTATAATTTGCAAGTTTTCCTCTATTTTGTCAATTTCATTTTGTCAGGAACAGCTTCCTGAGAGCTACACATATGTAATGTCCTCACAGTGGAAGGATGTACAGAAAACCTGTAGATTTTTTTAGTTCTGAAGCAGGAGTGGAGTGTAAAAATTGTGAATAACTCCAGTTTTGGAAACTCCTGCTCTCCTTCCCCACTTATTTTCTCTTTATGCCATTACTTTACCCTTCCTTGAGCAAATGCGTTATTTTATACCTTATTAGAAATATCTCCTGAAAATGAAAGACTTGTACTTAAAGGCTGGTGGTCTCTGTCATCTACACAGTACAGTACTGGATTTAATTAAAAACTGAATGTATAAACACTTTCAGTTTTCTTGCTGTACAAGTTAACTGGCAGTGTGTCTGTACTGTGCTCTATTATGCCAGAATTCATGCTCATGTTGCAGATAATGATGAGCTGTGTTTGTGGTGCAAAGCGGCCTGCAGTGAGTTTTTGTCTTGGACCTTAATCCGCGGAGCAGCCTAACCGCCGCTGGCAGTTTCGCAGCGGCCCACTGTTAAGGGGCCTGAGAAGTGAACGTTATCAGACAGCGGCTGTGTGAAAACCTGCGCCTTCCTGCTCACAGGACAGATCAGCTTTCTTCCTTCCTTCCCTCTCCTCCCTTTTCCCTTCCCTCCTTCCCTTTTTTATCCCTCTCGACCTGCTCCGTCCTGAGCAGGTGGGGAGAAGCCAGGATCTGGGCGAGAGCTTTTGGGTCAGTTTCTAGCCCTGAACAGACCCAGTAATTTGGACTGAGCCCTGATTTCTGCAGGCTAAGAAAAGCCCCACAAAAGATGAGCTGGGAGAGCATGGGACAACAATATGATGAAAGTGGCAAGGAGGGGCCCATCCTAATAGAGGGGCGTGAAACGAAGGGAACTGGCTAAAGACTGTTATTAGCGAGAATACCTTCTCTAGCTCCTCTCAGGAAATCTTAGGAGCTTCAATAGGTCAAAACGTCTTCACAGCTCGAGGTGAATACATTCTCTCACACTCCATACCTACTTCTTTGTGGCTTTGGAGCAAAATGTTATAGCGGGACAGTCTGCAAGTGTGAAAGAGGAGTCAAGGCGTGTGTATGTGTGTGTCATGTCACACTCTGCTTTTCTTTTTCTTTCTTTTTTCTTGTGCAAAAACTTTCCCTCCATCCATGCCGCATTTGCTTGTCTGCCCAGCATGAGTGTTTAATCTTTTCAGGGTGTTGAATTGGAGAAGTGAAAGAGGCCCGAGTTCTCTCCCGCTAGGAGCCATGCTGCTTATTCTAAAGCTCTAATCGCTGTGCAAACACAGCAGCGCTCCTCTAGCCCTTACTCCATACACATCACTGTATAGCCCAAACTTGCTGTCTTCTCTTCACAGTCTCCCCTCGCTCTCCGTCTTCTCTTGGCCAGGCTGCTTACTGCACTGTGCTTCTCTGAAATCCCTCTGCAGCGCTTGAGAGAAAACGTCAGGGGGTCAGCAAGAGAAAACCGGCCCGAGAGTTGTTTTGTAATTTGGCGGGTTTTATTCCCCTGCCTCGTTCAGGGAAACCTTTCATGTTTGTGGCGGTGTTTGTTTTTTAATTAGTTGTTCCATCTAGCGAACAACTAGTCGCTCTCGCTTGACGGTGTAAACATCTGCGGATCCCGACGTCCGTCAATATTATGCGCACCGCTCTTCGCTAACCTGCGCCTCAGAGGAAGGGCATTGGCATTTGATGCAAAACAAATAAAGTGATTTGTTCGCTTTTTGTTTTGTCGCTGGCCGCCTCAAAGAAAGTTTTATTTACCCCGCGTTGATTTGATTTGGTTTGAGTATTAGCTTGGCTCTGGTTTTGGCCTCTGCAGGTGCTGGAGGTTCTGTGCATGGATGCTGCTGCGGCATGTTCAGAGTAATGCTGTTTAAACCCCACAATAAGAGAGAAGCACAGAGCCAGGCTTAGAAAAAGCGCTGTCTTCATAGGCCCATTGAGATGTTGGATGTCGTAGTTTGGATCTTATTGAAATTAAACTCCTTCCTCTTGTCGGTCTGCTCTAAATGGAAGATAATGAATTTTTGCCGTCTTTTTTTCCCTTCTTTTCCTCAGAGAAAACTGCTGGCCATCTACCTCCATAATGACGATAGTGTTCTCAGCAACGTCTTCTGCTCCCAGATGATGTGCGCAGAGTCCATAGTCTCATATCTCAGCCAGAACTTCATCACATGGGCCTGGGACGTCACTAAAGAAGCTAACAAAGCCAGGTAAAGCACGCACAAACACACATCCTTGCCATCGCGCTCTCAAAGAGAGGCGCTGACCCGCTAAAAAATGTGGAGATCGGAAGCATTTTCACACCCAAAATGGATGATCTCTTAATGAGAGATTCCACCCCTCCCCCACTCTCTCTTCTCTCTCCCTGCTTATTGGGTCCTTTGACAAAAGCGGTTGTGTTTGCTCTCTGAGGCCCCAACAGGGCAATCTGCACTAATCTGCCCCAATAAAGGGTCAGTTAGACTCCTGGTTCTCATTCAGTTCACTGCTGGGAATGTCTTCATTTCAGCAAAGGGTGGAGGAGGGTGACTTGGTTTTGGATCTTGTGACTTATTTTTTTTTTTTTATCAGTAAATATGGAGGTATTTGCCCAGTCTGGAAAAATGTTGGATGTAAATGTAAGGAGGTTACTCTTCGTAAAATGAAATTAGGAATTTTTGCACTGGCCAGTACCCTCTTTCTTGCTCAAGATCAAGCTAGAGTGGTTAGATTTTTGCAGCTAACAGCTAGTAGTGCTAGGTTTTCAATCAAAATTTCTGTTTTTCTTTTTTCTATGCCCGCTACATCGAGTCACTCTGATGTGAAGGAAAGAGAAGGAAGGTGAGAGAAAGTGAAAGAGGTGAAGGGAGGGAAGGCCTGGTCAGGCGGCAGATGGAGTCTTGATTGGGCCCAGCAGGCTTTGCTGCGGGGCAGGCCTGGGCTTTTCCTTCCACTAGGCTTCACCCCAAAGGCCTCCTCCCGGAGCAGGCCGCTTGCGAAAGGCAGCAAGTGACCCTGCTCCTGCAGGAGCTCCTTCAGTTGGGGCCCTGCCTCCATTCCTCTGGCTCTCCCCTAGTGCTTTTTGCCCCAGCTGGGCCTTTCTACCACAGATTAAAGCCGGACAACATCTGGGGCTATTCACAACACCAACGACGAAACGTACTCACAAACGTCTATGTGTTTTTGAGCGCGCACACACGCGCGCACACACACAAAATCATGTCCTAACACACACACATTTCCTCACACATTCTCACGCTCCTGCGCAAAGTCTCCTGGCTGATGATTGGCAGCGTACACAGTGGTTGGTGATTTTGTGTGTGAGAGAAAGAGGTAGACTGATTAAGTCTCAGTACTCCTTTTTTGTATAGACGGCTGCTGTGCTGCTCTGTCTGTCTCTTTAACACACAGATTAATTATGTATAAATCCAAGTCTACTGAGTACATGCTGATGTAATTATCACCCTTGAGACCAACAACCCTTATTATTATAAGATCTTAATGAGCTGTTTTTATTTTTGTATCATATATTTAGTTTTGAGCAATTTATTTATTTTGTTATTTGAAAACCATTCCTAATGTAGCAGATTACTCTCCCTTTACATGACAGCAGTGCCAACCTTCAAAGGTTCTAATCCATGGCACAGTTCAGACTCGAACCCAGTCAAGTTATAGCTCACACTTCTGAGATTGTGTTGTTGAATGTTAAAAAAGGAAAATGAAACAGAATTGTAACAGATAAGCTTGTAAGAAGTCTTAGCTTGGCACAGTGTGCAGCCCAAATGTTTGCATTAATGTTCCAGTAAGGGAGAGTGGGGCACAACTTAACATAATAATTATATTAATAATACAATTATTTGAGCAAGATTAACATTTTCTTCCATCAACCTAAACATCTATGCTATAAATGAAAGCGTAAACTGTTTCCGGCACCTGTGAACGATGCGACCGAAAGTGGTAAGAGTGCATTACAACTTACCCATTAGATATGCAAGATCAGCAGTCGTAGCGACTAGTTGTAACAGTCACTAAAACTCATGCAAAATACAATTCGTTCACTGTAGTTCTGTGGTGTTTGAACCAGACACGTTTTCCAACCTAAATACACAACATGTATTTATTAAAATAAATATGATTAGTGAAAGGAGACTGACAAATAACAAACATGGCAAATGTATTGTTGACCACAAAGTAGATCAGCAAATGTCACCACGTTAGAATTTAAACACGTTTTGTTTACATGGCATCTATAGCATGTTTTTGACAAATCTCTGCAACATTTGAATTTATATGAATGGGATTCGAATTTCTTTCACTGTTTATTTGGAGAGGTTTAGTTGTAACACTGTATTACAACCCCACTGCTTGGAGGCTGTGCTTTAGCCTGGCTAGCTCTCTCTGTGAGTTGTTTATAAGCTTTATAATGCTATGATACAGCCACAAAGTAATGAAAAAAGTATTTATATGGTACAAAACAGGTGAATCCTCAGGATGAATCTAGAGAAATATCGATTGCTTTCAAAGTTTGCCGGTGATTGGCCCTTTCCCCATGTAGTTTATCAAAAAACAATCACACATAATTTCAAGCTGATACAATTTTTCAGTTGTAATCAGCCAAGAAGTATTTGCTGTTTCTCATTTGGCACTGGAGCTATAAGGATATTTTTAGATGAAAATGTCACACTGTGTCAGATACAGCATAAACAAGTCTATTTGGGATTCCATTTTTCCATTCCATTCTTCTGCCAATACTTGTTTGCTATATTAGCCTCGTAGCTCCTGTGCGTATCTGCTGAAATAATCTTCAGACACCAAACACATCTTGGCTGATTGACTGCATTAGGGGTAAAGGGGAAATTTGTGCTGTTGAACTATTGCTTTAAATGTACTCAGTAACACTTTGAATATACCGTACAGCTGAGGTGAGTAAGAGCTGAGTCAGAAGGGCAGTCCAGTGATGCTCTGCTGATTCTGAGTGGCTTTACAGCATGGCCTGATTTAGGACACTCCCCGAAGTTATGAGAGGGGGGCTAACAGTGTGGGAAACATCTCTAAACACTGGAGTGTATGAAATGAATGAGGGATATGAAAGAGAGATATGTGAAATGTCACTCCCATTATCAAGCCATCCATGATGAGATGTTTTAAAAGGCCAGGTGTTGCCAGTGTAGAGAAAAGAACTCCCCTCAGGAGCTCTGAAAACTCTTTAACATTCTCACATGTTACTTCCGCATCGTTGATGTGGCAGTCAACTGTCAGGTTAACCAGTGAATGGGAATTCTGCAAATACTGCAAGTGTATTTATACGCTGGCTTGTTTTTAATGGCAGCTGAAACATTTAAGTATGTGAAAAATGATAGAACAACTTGTCCCATATTTTCTGTATGTATCTTTTGTTATTGTGGGTTACACCAGCGCACAGTAAAAATGCACTAGGTCCACAGTGCTCAGAGGAAATGGTAGATTAAATATTCTTGTGAAATAAGTTTGGTCTGTTTGTGAAAGCGATTTCAGAGTAATATGTAGGAGGCTGTAGCTGGCTTTTTGCACTTGCTTTTTCTATTTCAGTGAAGTACTCAATTTCGTTCAACCCTCAATTTTTTCTCATAATAAACTACTCTCCATCTCTCTTTCTTTGTCTCTCTCTCTCTCTCTCTCTCTCTCTCTCTCTCTCTCTCTCTCTCTCTCTCTCTCTCTCTCCCTCCCTCTCTCTCTCCTTCTCTCTCCCTTTCTCTCTCTCTCCCTGACCCCTTGCACTCGTCTGTTCCATCACCCTATTTTACCCGCCTGTTATTAAGGCTGCACTTATTAAAGGAAGAGGAGAGAATCTAATCTATATTTGCATTCAGTCTATAGCAATTCATTAATATTATGACATTTACTGTGAGCTCTGCAAGCCTGTGTGCTACCCTTTTCCTTCAGCGAAATGTTAATTTAAAGTTCTGTCTTTGTAATGGAATAAGAAATCCTCCCTGGCCTATCAAATTCAGTGAAACACGAGCAGAATACTAATTCGCACTGGTGGTGTATTTAGAGGGAGAGAAGTGTCACTCAGAAGAAAAGCTGGATTCCTTTTATAAAAACAATACTATGAGTCATCTCTTCTCCTCTGAAGAGGTGTGATCACCCCAGGACCTTTATTGGCTTTTTCTTTAAATCTGCTTTTCCTTTTACCACTCTGTCTGTTTGAATGTCTGTCTATCCAAGGATTTCTATATCTGTTCATCACTCTTAGCTGGCCTGTCCTCTTATCCGTCAGTACTCTTGGAAGTATATCCATCTCTTTTTTTTTCCCCTCACCTCCAGACTACTCACTATGTGTACGAGGCACTTTGGAAGTGTCGTTGCACAGACCATACGGACGTACAAAACTGACCAGTTCCCATTGCTACTGATCGTCATGGGCAAACGGACATCAAACGAAGTTTTAAATGTTATACAAGGTAACCTACACAATGAATCATTTTGAAATGTTTCCGGTACTGATTTGTTATCTCAGAGTTAACATTTTTCCAAGTGTCTTCAAAAAACAAATGTCTAATTCTAGTACGGCACTGCTGTATGCACTTGTCATGCCCTGTGTTATTTGAATGTATGTGTTTACATCCACAAGGTAACACAACAGTGGACGAGCTGATGATGAGACTGATGGGAGCAATGGAGATCTTCACAGCTCAGCAGCAGGAGGACATCAGAGATGAGGTGAGAGACAGCAGCAAGGATGAGCTTATTGAATTTACCAATTTGCACCTGAATAAAGGAACCTGTAAGGAGCCTATATGATGTAAATATAGCTTAACTGTGAAGGCAATATAAATAAAGGCCATGATGAAGAATTTTATACACTCTGGAAAGTAAGAGTAAAGAGTAAGAGTATCTAGAATGGCAAATAAAAGCCCGAGGGACATGTTGTGACAAAGAACAACTGTTTTGTGTGCTTCAGAATTGACCAAACAGTCAATACAGTAGGAAAGAATACATCCCTTGATAATCATACAGTGGGAAAGAATACACTCCTTGATAATCCTCAGTGTGCACGCTTCAAGCCAGTAAGAAAGCACAATTCATTAGCTACTTTGTTATAGTCTGGGGTTCTGTAGCTATCACAAAGTGAACAGGATGCCATTCCTGTATGCTTTCACCACAGTGGCCACAGCTTGTTTTAAATCAATGCCCTCTGTGCAAACAGACTCGTACACAAAGACGAGGACCAAAAACGAGAAATATGTGTGGGCGCTCTGTCCATTCAGTAAGACTGCGTTAAGAGTGTTTGCAGGACCTATTGTATTTGTTTCGTATGACAGAAGGGAGGACTGTAAAGAGAATTTGACCCTCCCTCTCTAAAGGCTGTCACTGCAGTGTCATACAGAGGGCAGCCATAAGAATAGAACACAAAGCAACGTATAAACATATAGACTTGTTAACTAGGGCCCAAACCATATGTATACGAAACTGGCCAATATTGAGGTTCCAGATTTATTGCTGTTGGCAAAAAAAAAAACTGCCAATAAAGCACTGATATGATTTGAAGGTGATTCTTTTGTAATTCAATGAATATCTCTAATTTGAATAATGTTGCTCATTTTTTAGACTAGCCTATGATAATTTGGCTATCACCAACTTCTCATCTCATTACAGCAATATAGGTTGAACTGTTAAATATAAAGCATCATCGTAGTTAAAACCAGAACAACTTAACATTAGCATGTTATAGCACAAAAAACATAATGTGAAGAGAATTTACATTTATATCATTATTTGTTTTTTAAAACTTTGACGTTCGG